ATAAAACAGACTCGATTTATAGGGCGAACTTTCTTAACGTCGTGGCTGCTGACTAGAATAGCAAAATTTGTTTTAGATTACTCCTTAGGTTTTAGCTTTCAGCTTTTTTTAAAAATTATTGACTGAAATGGATGTTATGTCGATGTAAGAGTAGACCAGCTCAAGACGTTTTATTAGACAAGGCGAAGGTGGCTAAAAGTTTGAAAAAAACTATTTCTTGTACCAAATGCCGATGCATCCGCACTTTTCAACTGACACTGTTGATAAGCTCATTGATAATCTCGAAACTTCCACTTTGGTTGAAGCGTCCAGAATGCAAAGTATCCAGTTTAATCTAAAACTTGTATTTTCTGATTCACTAACTGGCAGAAGTGGAAGCTTGGTTTTGTAACATTATGCGTTATCAGGCTATTTCAAACACAGTTAGAGGAAGGTATTTCACAGACTTAGTCATAAAACTTTGCCTTATGGAAGTAAAGCTTGAGTAGGAACGTTCAAGAATCTCGCTTTTCGGCCTGATAACGGAACATCAGCAAACTTTGATAAAACAAAGCCAAAATAATAGGAAAGGAGAGCAGATATGTTATGACGAAAGATGCCATAGCCGGCCTATCGAAAAACGATCACATAATCAAACTCGATAACTATAATCGGTCGTCAATTGAACTTCCATGCATTGTGCCCAAAATGCCATAATGCCATTGGGAGTAAAAGGAACAGCAGCAATATGACAACAACTTTATGTGATGCTCGCTATTTTATCTACTATAATTTTTATATGCTGTTGTTTCATTGGATTTGGTAGCGTGCTTAGTTAATCGCAGGGCAAAGCTCGTCACATCAATTCTGTGCTGTCTCCAGGAATTGAATCCCCGCGTTCTCATGACCTTCACGCTGTTCTCATCTATTTACGCTAAGAATCCTTGCCTGTTTCGCGGCTAGTTCACAACGTGAGTAGTAGTTTACTATTCTTAGCATGCATGTGGACTTACTCAAATGCATTTGATTCATCTCGATAACGAGCCAGTTCGATATTTAGCTATATCTTTGCCTTAGGATTTAGAAACTCAAAAATTTCGACTCGCGCACATAATAGTTTTTTCTTGTCACTACCCTGTTATTTTATTCAGTGTTTATCAGATCTTGCAGTCCTTCCAAATTTATCCTGTTGAGCTTTCGAGACGTCATCCTTCTTCCTTTATATACAATATCTAAGGTCAGGTTGGCATTTCTGTGTTTTTTCCTTTGTTTTTTTGGCGTATAAACATGTACCTTTCCTTAAATCATTGTACGATGTGGCCAATTTTTATCAATTCTAAATTTACAAATTACATTTCACGTCGGTAAATCAGGCGAATACTGAAGACCCAACTTTAGGTGCATTTCTGTCTGACATTAAGGATCATTTCGATCTTTCCAACGGAATGCAGGCTATTTTCATTATTGTGTCTAATCTATCTACCTATTACAATGCATTAAATGTTATTTAGAAGTGACGCAAATTGTTTTTTTTAATTCGACGTTTCAGCATCCAGTAGAAAAGCAGTCTTAAGCCAGGAACAGTGATGATTGCTATTAGTGAAATATTCCTATTGATAGCTTCCGTTCTGGAAACCAAAACGTCCACAGTGTAAACATGACAAAACGTCCATTTGGATACTCTTCAGTTCATCTTGCAGTTGACTTGAATCATGGGACAGTCGTTCGAGAGTTTATAGCTTCTAGTTCTATTGTTGTTCTGAATGTGAAAATGTGCCGTGTAGAAATGGATGTATATGCCTTAATGAGTATTTTGAATACGTTTTAAGAGATCATGTCGAGTTTTGTTGTGCATCCAATCTTGAATTTTCCACTGTTTTTATTTAGTCCTATATTGTAAGCTTACTTTTCCTAAATGACAGTTTTCAGCTGAGTAATTAAACCTTGTTCGTGGTCATGAGCTGGTGGGGATCGATTTATTTGAGTCATTTGTCTACAGCGCTTGTGAGGTGAACAGTTATATCCATAGGACGGGACGGTATTGAAAAAATCTAGTTTTACATGCAGTACACAAAATGTAACCATTTCTGACCTCAAGTCGTTCTTCATAGATTAAGATAGCGACAGTAATATGCTTTCCCAAGCTTCTGCTTCTTAAGCGCCCCTTAATATCGAAGAAGGCTTTCTCTTAGTCGATGAAGGTTAAACGACTGGTATCTATTTTTTGTCGATCTGTTTTTAACCAGTTGTTTAATAAGCGGAAGTTATTTCCGCTAAATCAGTTACAAACTTCGGTTTACTTATTTAAGCGTTTTGAAATTAGTTTGCCCCATCAGCTTGCTTTCGCCCTTGATGAATGTTTCGTAGGTAACAGAAGGAAAGACTCGTAAGTCATTTAGTCGTTTATAGCCCATAAATCAATATGACACAGACATTGGCAAAATGGCAACTATAAAACTCAGCTAGATGAATGTCAGTCACTGTTGTGGCTCGCTTCCTTCATGAAGCTTATATGCAACATTGATGTTATCTCAAGAGGCCATCGAGCAGGAGCATCTACTTTGTAGAGACATTCTTAGCGTGTACTTTCCTATTTCCTTCTCACGAAGTGACAGTCGTTTATCTTCCTCGAAAGAATGATAGATGGGTAAATCGGTCAGTAATTGAATTGGTGACTGTTCGACTGTCGTTACTGCAACGTAACGCCTAGGCTCCCAACATTGCACTGATCCTATTCCAAAGTGTTTTATTTCTTGGCATGAAAATTTGAATGTTATGTTCGAACCAGCAATCTACTTTTCGTTATATCGTTGCATTATCAACTTAGCAAGCAGTTATTCAGTGCAAAATGCCAAATGGTAGTAGTAATTGTTTACCAGTCGATAATTTCAGACCGTCTTTTTTAAGATGGCATGGCGGGTCGATGATTGTGAAGCTGCTCATTTTAGTGAGATGTTGTTACTCTCTATTGTACATATGTTTCTGTTTATCGCCGAGCTACTTTTTCCTACACAGTGTAAATCGCTGTTGTTCAGAGTATGGGTGCTTCTTCATATCGCTGGTTTCACACGGGGTGTTGCGAATGTGTTGGTCAAAACTGCATTGATTACGGGGTTCGCGAGGGTCTTTGTGCTGAATGTGGTGAACTGGAAGAACTTTCCGAAAATACGGTCGACGCCAAACTTTCAGACGAACTTTAAACTGAGTGACCTTCGTTCGGTATGTTCACTGACATGACTATGTGACAAGTTGTTAATGGTATTTTCGCCTTCCTGTTGTACAGTTTTGTGACATATACCTCACGATCAATTGATCTGTCTTAATTATGCAGTTTTATCACCGGTTGTTTTATATAATTGATAGCAAAAAAATTTTGTTGCGTTACTGTTTTTGATACCTCATTTTGGCTTTTGCTAATGTATACTTTTTAACTTAACGTTGCAAAGTTATTTCTTGCATGGGCTCGCTATTCAGATGCGAAGTTTTTCTGAGTTCTCACAATGATACCGATGTATAGTATTTACATGAATTGTCTTTGATATTTCATCTGTACTAAAATCCCAATTCGTCTGGATTGCGAATGGTATACATCAAAGTGCAAAGTCACCCGTCGGGGTAGAGTAGCAGCGATGGTTCAGCCATTATCGTAGTAGATATGAAGAAATCTCATGGATTGTGAAATAAGTTATAAAGGCACGTCAATACTAGATGAGTAGATCCGCTCGGTTTGTTTAAAGCAAGCCTTGCTGTTTCAAAATGAGTGGCGACAGAACTCCAAAATGTCTGAGAAACCTGAGTGACCCATCTTTTGATAAAACGTACAGTATTTTTCTTGCATTCGTACTATATACCCCGTAGATATGCAAAAATTAATAGAATAATAATACGAATTTTGAAGTCACGGTGGTTGCAGTTTATATTTAAGTTAATAATGTTAGTTTAATTTTAAATTTCGAATGGTGCATTCCATATGTATTGCTCTGTTGTTATGCTATAGTTTTTGATCATTTTTTTTTGAAAGTTGTAATGTAGATTGCAACAGAATTTCAGATTCTTCGAAAAGGGATTGCTCTACGCCTGATTCAATTCTTTTTCAAGTTTTTGATTTACT